TGAACTGCTGGACTCAGCTTTCACTTGCTCTCTCACACAAAACACTACAATTTCACTCTATTTTTACTCTCTAGCGCTGTTCCATTTATAGACTTGTCTATGTGGTTTGTTGGGTTATAAATCAGACTTTAACTACTCTGTGTCTTGTCTGACAATAATGGGGCTATAATGGTGACATTTATTGGTTTGTCTTTTGGTGAATTTAATAATAAAAAGAGCAAATATAAGCTTAAAAATACAAACTCCCTTTGGTCAAATGCCACCCTGTCCAAATATACAATATATAATGTTTTTTTGTTTTTTTTTATAAATTCAAGGAATTCAAGTTTCAGCATGATCATTCAGTGTGACCTTAGTTTACATGATAAAATCTATTCTTTTGTCTCCCAACCCATCCACGGAAATTAGTCTTACAGAACTTAAAATCTGAACAGCTGAAGCCTTTAGGATCAGTTTTACCTTACATCATACTACTGTATATGATTCACAGAGTTAAGACCAAAAATGGTTAGCTGATCGATCAAGTACTTGGAAAGAACACGGGCAATGATTTTGATAATGAATTAATTGTTATGCATTTTAATGTAGGAACACAGAGGACATTTCATAGACCAAGTGATTATTGAAATGATTGAGAAATTAAATGGTGGATGAACGTATTGATCAGGGAGAACAAAGAAATGTCCTGTGCAAATTGGGAAATCTGTCTCTGTTTCTGTCAGTGTGATAAATCATCAGACTGCGGGTTTGTTTGGTTTGTGAAGGTTGGGGGCAGCAGGTTAAGAGGCTGCAGTCAGCTGGAAGTGGCCCCCAGGGGACATAACTCTCTCTCTGTCAGGGTCACAGACTCAGACTACATCTGACTGACGTCTGCAACACTTGTCCTGTGTGCTGTAATTAAGCTTTAAGATCCATTTTAAAGAAGTCACTATTCATCTCCAGGTTTTTTCTTTATGCATCTTTGTTTTCAATTACCAAAAATAGAATTTTTGGCTTTGCACTGGTTCATTACATCTTCCAGGCTGCTGACAGACAGTGCGGTAACTTGGCTGTGCAGTAGGCCAGAGGCGTGGTGATCGAAAACACATCACCTCTCACTGAGTCCACTCTGGTCTGAAGTGGGTTAGAGAGGAGGTCAACAGAACACTGGAACTTGAGATGAGTGCTCAAGATATGTATGATACTAATGAGTGGCCCATAGTACAACATCTTGTACACCTGAGCAGACTGTTTATTTAGATAACAAACAATGGATGCAGTCATTTATTTGAGTACCACCCCCTTGTGGAACAGTAGTTTAACTGCAGGATTATGATCAGCTTTAGCAGTAGTTTATGTGGCTATTGCTGCCACAGGGAAGTCGAATTGTACAGGGAAATACTGTCAGAAAGATTTTGGTTTCATTAGATAATGTCAGAAAGGTATGCACAGAGATTTAAAGCACAATTGGCAGGAAACACAATACATTCAATACAATTTAATGAGGAGTTTTATTCTTATGCTCACATAATGTTGGCTAAAATGAATAAGGAATTTCAGAAATGTTTTGTGTGTCCTGTTATGTTTAGACATTGGATGTTAACCCTATAAATGGTCTTAATTTATCTGTAGTCTAACATACGGTAAGACTTTTTCAAAATGAGCGTTAACGTTCACAGCAGCTCGTTTGACATGTACAGTATTTTAAAAGTCATGTCACAGAGCTTTTCAGAGGGGTTCAAAGTGTTCTCAGCTCTGTGTTCAGGCCTTTTCCACATGTGTGTGCACAGGAGTGTGAAGGCGTTGTAAAGCAACACTTTCCAGCATCACAGTCAGTTTCCAGAGAAACTAAGCGAGCGCTGAGTGCTATCTCTCCCCTCTGTGGGTTGACTTCGCTTTGCTGTTGGGAATGGAAAGGCTTTAGAGGCTCCCCGCCGCCGTGAGCAGACTCAGGCGACTTCTCAGTTCAAAGTCACCACACAGCTGAAGCTGTGCGGGGCCTAGCTAAACACGAGCAGCGGTTTTTATGATGAAGAGTTCAAGACAGAAAGAGAACATGCATCACCATGGTTTTACATATGAAATAGAACTTTGTTCTTCTACTGTATGTTTACAACAAGGCAGCAATGTATGTGGATTTTAACTTAGCTGAATTTCTCTAGTTATTTAAAGCAATATTAATCAAGGCATTTTTGGCCAATTTGGGGCAGGAGAACAAGCTGTAAACACAACACTGACATATTATCACATTATTCTTATGAAAATATTTTGGTGTACAACAACACACAAGGAGAATACCAGGCCCTTTAAGTTCCACTGTGTTCAGTAGCTGGTTGCAAAGTTTGTCTGTCTGTTGTTGTCTGGTGCGGAGCAGATTGTGTCAGACCTTTTTAACTGAAAAAAAAGGAATGGGCCTAGTGCCACTGAAAACAAAGTTGATGAGAGTGGAAAGAGTAAAACCAAAACGGTAGCCTTCAAGCAAAGACCTTTAATTACTGCCGGGGATTCCCTCTTTATTCCTGTAGTCACAAAAATAAAGAGTGCATGGATCTTTCTAAAGAAAGCTGGTGCATGACTAATATGCAAGGCGGCCAACGGGGTGACAGACAAATGCTACCAAAGCCAACAGTTGGTGATGTTACACTGTCATCTGAAACAGGAGTTTTTCACCACTTATGTGAAACAAGTGTTTTTTGGCCTTTGAAGAAGGGCAAGCTATCTGTTTATGACTTGTACAACGTGTCTGAACCACTCATAAGTTTCATTTCAGAGTAAAAAAAAAAAAAATTAAATACAAGAAAATTGGTAGATGCCAAAATTCTCTTATAGCAAGTCTCTGGTACGTGCCACTTAGAGAGGAACCTGTTCCTACGGCTGGTTCTTTCACCAAAGTTCTGTAAAAACACAACTAGAGATAAAGAGAAAGGAATTTTAACTTGTCACCACGAGCTGTAGCACATAGTAATTTAAATTTTAATTAAAATTTTTCACATTTTGATTAGCGCAACTTTAAGTCTCTTGTGCATTAGAACGATTTTTGCTATTATCTCTCTATACATATTACATGCACCTATTTCATGTTTGTCAGTCCCCGAAAAGGGTGTCTCGCTTCTGTTGCTCTTACCAGGGGGTTTTTTCTTTTAGTTTTTTCCTTTGTTTTGTTTTGTTTTATTTAGTTTAGTATGTTGTACATACTATAGAATCCCCCTAAGCCACATTTGTGGCACATTTGTCATTTCCTGCTAAAAAAATAACACAGGCTTTATGTGGCAACAAACAGAAAAGAAAACAACACGATCAAAGACGAACAGTACATTGTCAAACTCAAAGCAATGAGCCTGGGAGAAAGTATAAAACAGACAGTGCATGTATGGTACAGTATGCGTGTGTCCGTCAGGTAGGATGACCCCTGGACAGGAGAACACAAACTCTTGTTTGTGCACAACCAGCCTCCACCCGTCACCAGGAAATCTGTGCAAGTGATAATTCCACACATTCCATGATTTACAGTAATGCACTGTGGCGTTTCCGTCAGTGACTCCTTCCATATCACGCACATTATCCACACTAAACCCACAATACCAATGAGAACAATTACACTTGCAGTGCATGTAGCTACAAAAGTCACTGCTGGGCATTTATTCTGGTTTCTGCAAAGCTGTGGAGGCATGTTGTCTTTTACCTGAATATTCCTTTACCACTCTCTAATCACTTTCTCCCTATCTTCCCTTGACTCCCTCCTTTTCTATCATTCTATTTGGCAATCTGCCCTGCAACTACGGCTCCCCCTATCACTGTATTTCTTGACTGCATTCCTCTCATTCCTACCAGCTTCCTGTGACTGTGAGCCCTACCCGCCACAAAACCTCACCTTGGAGACCCAACCCATGTGGGCTCTATATGTCTTTTCAGTTCTTTAATGTTCCAGTTTTCAACCTTTTGTATAAATCAAATTTGTGTGAGGGTCTGGTGAACACTTCTTCACAGCACCTCGCTCATATTCTCATTAAGGTGAGGATGTTATAAGTCTCCTTCTCACTGTGTATTGTTGAAATTACACTGAGTGTTGTCAATAGCAGTTTTTAAACTCGAGCCATAATATCCTCTCAGGCATACAACTTAACTGAACAACAAACCCACTGACTCACAGAACCAGGACCAGTCTGGGTCTGTGGAAACAAAAAGTCTGGCTCCGCTCACCATCCGAGCTGCTATGACCCAGATTGGTTTATCTTCATGGAACCAATGATAAGTGGCCCCAAGCAGAATGAGGAGGTGTGTGTAAAACGAGACAGCTCAGTGCAAATGAATGCACTTTGTGCCTGCACATGCCTGAATTAGCATGTATGCATCTGTGTGCACAAGTTGGCCTTATCCCAAAATGCAAATACAGTATCAGGAAAATGGCATTTACTGTATAGAATACAGTAAACTAAAATAAACTGCATGTTAAGTTATCTGCTTATCAAGAAGCTTGATAAAATAGTGTTTACATGTTCTTACAGGTTTGGGGGGCTGTACAGCACCTTCCTACATAAAGCAGATCAAATTTGCTGTAAGGTGAATGTAATCTTACCTGATACCATAAACGTGTACCACATGTTGCCTCACCTAAACGTACAGATGGGTGACAAATTAAAGGAAAAACACAATGTGTCAGTAAGGCGCTGGGCTCATCACAAGTCATCAGGACAGCTTCTGTAATGGAGGGAGGAAGACAAATCTTCCATAAGATATTCCCTTTGTGTTTTGATGATGGTGGTTGAGGCACTGTCTTACAGGTGGGTCCAAAACCTCCCAAAGGTGCTCAACTAGGTTGAGATCTAGTTACTGTGAAGCCCACAGCATATGATTCACATCATCTTTATACTCATCAAACCATTCAGTGACCCCCAGCCTTTTGGATGGGGACACTTTGATCCTAGAAGAGACCAGGATATTTTTCACCACAGGACAAAGGTTACCACTCATTGTAAAAAAAAAAAAAAAGCATACCAGAGCCAATGGATCCCCTCACTGTGCCCTTCAGCATTAAGGATTTTCCTTTCATTTGTCTCCGATCTACTGTAAATCTTTCCACAGAAGTTAGACCCATCCGATGTTTGGAACTTCTGCGCCTGGTAGCTACTTTTCTGTTGGGTTCTTCCCGATTATGAGAGATTGTGGAAGTATTTGTATACATATTTGAACGGCGTGGTTGCTGGGTGTAGACTAATCACGGCTTATCCCTGATGTAACACAAAGGGCTACACACACACCGACCCACCCACAGAGCGAGAGCATCCTTACCCGGCTGAGCTCAGCAGATGGAGCCCGCACACCAGCAGCGCACACTCGGATGAAAGTTACACTCGCAGCATTAAGAATCAGCGTCTCTACCACCGACGGACACACTCGGTGAGGAGGAGACTAATAAGTGAGTAGCAGCTTCTACAGTCTTAGTATATATGTGGTCTAAAGTTTGTGGCGTGCTGAGTTGAGCTAACTGACAGGGCGCGCGCTGACGGAGGGAACCAGCCGTTTGGACCGTGTTATCAGAGCAGTTAACCGTATCGATAACGACCCGTTCAGTCGAAAAGAGACCTGATATGACAGCGAATAGCTGTTGTACGAAGTTTTTATCGGTCCTTTTGTTTGTCTCACCTAGGACTGTTACTTTAAACCTGTGTGTCAGTCCCTCGATATGGAACTGAAAATACGTCGCTTTTGAACTTCCACCTCCAGAAGGTAGGCGATGTTTATTTGATAACGGGCACTGGGTTACAGGCTTGCAAACTCTTATTTAAATTTGACTTCTGCTTTATTTTTATGTTATTCAAACTGTTTTACCGCTTTCTTATGTAGGCCTGCAAGATGTCAGCTGAAATACTTGAACAGAAAAAGTGTCCCTTTGTTTTGTAATAAAAATGTGAACCACACTGTTAAATCCAGATAAGCCTTCTTCTGGTTTGTGTCCAAAATGAGCAGGTGTAAAACCTCACCAGTGCAGTTAGATGATTTCCCTCCTATTCATATTGAAAAGGGACATAAACGTTTATAAAAGCAGAGTAATTGAACATGTGAGGTCAGTGTCAGATGCAGCAGTGTGAATTAGAAAAATACTTGGTTGGCTGCCTGAACTAGCTGGCTGTAATTCAAAGTGCCCTGGTAGTTATCCTGATCTGACAGGCAATGAGACTATTTTAAGGTGATAACTAGTGTGAATAATTGTGGCATTAAGGCCTCATTGTGAGTGCAACTGTAAAGTTTCCTGCTGGATGTATTTCTACCCATAACGTCACTGAAAAGTTTGGCTCATTCACTACTAGGCAACAAATGTTTGGTTGTTTCATGGACGGTAGGGTGGGTGGCTGTGTGTGTGTGTGTGTGTGTGTGTGTGTGTGTTGTAAAGTGACAGAAGTCACAAAATTGGTTAGATCCCACCCGAGCCCCTTGGTACCCAGAATATGAAAGCATGCACAAGCCTGTAATAGTGTTCTCATGTGTCCAGGTTCCCTCTCTGGACATAATGAGGTCATAGCCTCGGTGCTGTCGTGGGAATGCAGTTACATTAGTTTCATGTGGGTCATAAAGGAATTGACACCCACTATGCTCCTCTGGTGGTTCTCTCTACTTTGTGCAAATATTGTTTACACAAGTGTATCACAGAAAAACGCCTTTGATCACAATAACCAGTTCTTTACATGATCAGTGTCGCTCACACTGTTGATCACAAAGGCCCCTGTGCTCCCCAGCTTGTGACAGCCTATGGACCTGGTGTTGTTACAGTCTTGAACAAGCCTCATATGATTAAACATTCGAGTGATGCTCAGCCACCAATACATTAGTAAAAAGAAAGTATTCACACTATAAATGTGGAAACTCTGTCTTTCTGTCTGTGGGGGGATTTTTTTACATTTTTTTTTTTTTTTTACATCAGACATTTTGGTGTCAGGTACAGTCGCTCTCTCCTCCTACACCTGGCACCAGCTGTGAGTCACTCTCTGGCCCAACTACCAGTAAGGGAATCTGTGCCAAAAGCTCCATACACTTCCTATCAGACAGTTGCAGTGCAGTGTGGTTGCTAGCAGCCAGGGTTAGTTTGACTTTATCTTCAGGTATGAAGCTGAGTTTCACTTTGCATTCCGTAGTGGCTAACTACAATCTAAGAGGAATTCACAGCTAATCTGAAACGCATAAGATGATCATGGTTATTTAAAGAGTATTCCGAGCATTCGACATACCACATGGTTTGACAAGTGTTGTACTGCTGGGAAACAAGTGGAGCAGGGTGCAGATTGTTTTGGTTTTCTTGTTTCTGATTTGGCTCAGGAAAATTCTTGAATTGGACATACAGTATATTCAATAAAATTAAATGAACACAAAAGGCACAATAAACCCGTAGCTGCTTCGGATACCGTTCTTATCAGACCTTCTCTGTTTTTTATTACACATGTGTACATGTACAGAATTAGAAGTACAGCTGAAATAAAGATTATTATCTTGATTATTTTCTTGAGTAATCCATACTTAATTTTGTGAATAAAATGTCAGAAATATAATTTTCCATAGCCAAGCTGATGTCTTCAAATTGCTTGTTTTGTCCTCCCGCATCAGGCGATTGTTTCATCATTGATTAACCTACTGACTCACTCTTGATTAATCATCTAATTATTTAGCCTTTAAAATTGAAAAAATTGTGAAAAATGCATGTTACACTTTCCTAAAGTCCAAGCAGATGTTGCTTTTCTGATCAGCAGTCCAAACCCAGCCAAAGAAAAACTATAGGTCCTCTGAGAACTAGGAAATAGTGTCATTGTTTGAAAACAATTAATTGATTATCAAAATAGTTGGTCAGTAAATTTCTCTGTCAATCAACTAACCAATTAATTCATTATTTGTCTTGATGGGATGTGTTTAATGTCTTCATCCTTTAAATAGAGAACAATAAACATTCAGTGGATTGTTGTTTCTGTTTGCTGGGTGGATGACTAAGATGAGCAGTGAGGGACCTTCCACTCGCATTAATCACTTCTTTCCAGTGTATTCCTAGCTGAGTAAACACTGATAGAAAAGCTTGTTGCATCAGCTTCTTTACTGACCTCTCTGTTGACCCCTGATAGGCCTTTACATGTATAATAAAAAGCAGAACAAAGTCAAGGTCATACTTAATGATCAGGCCATCATCAGGTATTTGGGTAGAGCTTTGTCCTGCAAGCGAGCTGTGAAAGTATTAATATTGTCCCAGGGCAGATAACCTTTAAAAGTCCCCTGTGTTTCCCCAGTGTGAGCCACATCAGTGCGCTGACAATAGGGACAGTGTTTTGTACTGGCCAGAGCCCCAGATCACATTTCCTGTTCCTGATTTAAGATCAAACTCAGCGGACTACTGATACACTCTCCTGCTCCTCTGCTTGTGTATCATACTAGTGTGTTTGTGTGAGAGAGAGCAGGAAAAAGATGGAGATCAATTGAGAAATCAGAAAAGTTGATGTAAAACAAAACCAGCAGTAAAAGCATGCTTGAGTACCAGGAGACAGTGGCCTTGTTCTTACTGACTGCAGGGTGTATTTGAATCAATGAAGCCCCTCTGTGTACACCTAGTGTGCATTAAAGGACTCACTACCCTCCAGACACATGGATGATTTATAGTTTTATAGTACCAAGTAGGCACCTGTTTTCTCAGTCAAATCACTCTTACGCCAGGCATTGGGTGTTTGCATGTAAAAAAATAAATATATGCCTGTGTGTGTGTGTGTGTGTGTGTGTGTGTAAAGGCAACATTTCCTTTGGTAACATCTCTTATTTTCGATGGCAGTGCAGCAGTGGATGTTTGTGGGTGGAGATGAGGTGCACAGATCCTTCCATGCTTGGACAATCAGTCACTGTTTCTTTTGAAGTAAGGTACATAAAGGAAGTCAGCTGGTGTTCCCACCGGGTCAAATCGTAGCTCGTGTCTTAATTTGCATAACTGGGGGCAATATTAAGGCCATAACTTGTGTGTGCTATGCCTGAATGAGGGTGGGTGTTGGTGCTAATTCACTGTGTCACTCTCTTTTTTATGAAATATTAGCACCTGCCAGATTGTGGACATATCAGTGCCAGTTCTTTTAACAGATACTGTATGAGTGTGTGTCACCAGGCAAGTCAGCTTCAGTCCCATGCTATCCTTGTGACAGTACCCTGGGCCAAATTTAGCTGCATTTTCCTCCTCCTACAAAAAAAAAAAAAAAAAAAAAAAACCACCTTG